CCGTTCTTCATGGCGTCTCTTGCCATCATCCGCAAGGCCATGAGGTTCATGTTCACGGAGGATGAACTGAAGCAGCTGGATGGCCTTCCAGGTGAGGACGAGGAGGAGGATGCCGCCATGTCGAAGCCGGACATCGTGAATTTGGATGCGAAAGATGCCGCTTAGGAGAGCCAGGATTTGCAGGGTGTTGTTTGTAGATTCAATCAGCGTAGATAGGGAGGCTACTCAGCCGGACCTTTTGCAAAATTCAATAAGTTTTGGTTCTTCGGGACTCGTCAGCGAAGCCCTTCTTTGAAGGCTTTTCCTGGCAAACCTGATCCAGCACGTTTGGCACGACCCTGCGGGTGGGGACTTAGGGGTGATTAGGGGTGTCTTCTGGGTCTTCAGCCTGCGTGTTGGATCTTTTATGTCAAAATGGTCTGGCCCATCCGCGGCCAAGCAACGCGCATCATGTGCTGAGAGAGGCCGAGCGCCGAAGGCGAGCGAACCTCCTGCACAAGTTCTTTGTACAAGCATTGCGTTGCCAAACCAGCTCACTCCAATTTCGCAAGCAGAGAAACTAGCGTGTGACGCCGGGTCCAGCATGCATCCTTACCCCATCACCAAGATGTCTTTGCGCACACATGTGTACTGACACAGCTCCCGTGTTTGAGGGTAGCAGGGTTTAGCGTAGGGCTGCAACTGTCTGGGTTTAGGTTGCTGTTTCGGGTTGAAGCTAGGGTTCTTGACGTGTAAGGTTAACGGCACTGTCCTGTTCAGGAAGCTTCTGCAATGGGGCAAGGACAGTGCAGAACGAGCTGTTCTGCAGCAGCTTGGATGCAGAAGCGATCGATGTGCTGTGCAAGAAACCCTTAACCCTAAACCCTAAACCCTGAATCCTATAAACCCGCATCACAGAGATGGAGATTCCCAGGCCATCGCAGGTTTTCGAAGTCTTCAAGGAGACCCTTGGCGAGGACTGGATCTGCGACAGTCAGGCACGCAAGTGCAGGAGCAGATGGGACTTCATTTACTATAAAGACATAAACTGTAGTATGCTGGCATATATTTCGACATACTGTCATATACTATAATATACTAAGTTACTATCGTGTACTATCATATACTGTAATTTACTGAAATATGATTTTCATGCTAGCATATACTACAATATAGTAAACCCTAACATAATGGCTACCATATACCATCGCGTATTCCGCGAGGCTCACATTTGCCTGCTGGGGCGCTCGGAAGATTCCGCATTGGTGCGACATCTTTATAAGGCAGGGCCCCAAGCAGCTGGGACGGCCCGAGTCTGTCTGTCTGTCTCTCTCTCTCTGTCTCTCTCTGTCTCTCTCTGTCTCTCTCTGTCTCTCTCTGTGTCTCTCTGTGTCTCTCTCTCTCTCTCTCTCTCTGTCTCTCTCTGTGTCTCTCTCTGTGTCTTTCTCTCTCTCTCGCTCTCTCTCTCTCTCTCTCTCTCTCTCTCTCTCTCTCTCTCGTATACTTTAAATAACTAGACAAGAAAGATATATGAATATATACATCTATATATATATATATATGGATGTATGTTAGTTTACGATGGTATATGATGGTTTCTGATCGTGTATGGGAGAAAATGATAGCATATGACAGTATATGATAGTATGTGTTAGTTTATGATAGTATATGATAGTATACCGTAGTATAGTATCGTATAGTAGCATATTTTCAAGTATACACTAGTACATCATTAAAGTATACTTCGTGCAAAAACATGATATGAGATCTTGTGGCTCTGTCAGGTGTTGACGCAGGACCTGACGCTGAGACACATCTCTGTCGCCAGTGGTGGCTTCGAGGCCGGGGCTTTTGAAGCTGCTCTTTCGAAGGGTTTTAGGGTTTAGGGTGTAGGGTTTAGGGTGAGAGCATGGGCAGCAGAGGCGGTGATGAAGTCTGCCACGAAACATGGCTACGAGATCGTCCGCAGCGAGCCGGGGATTGCCGGAGCTCTCGACAGGCGGAGAAGACGGCCGCTGACGGCAGTTGCAGATTGCACCATAAAGCGAGCACACCGCGTCGTGGTCAGGCAGCCAGTTCCCGCTGCTGCAGCAGCTGCAGAAGGCTGTCCCGATCGGGGTCCACCCCAGATTCCGGGATGTTCTCAGACAGCGCGATTAGCATGGCCGAACCTTAGCGGACAGCCGGATGTGTACCACCGTAACCACCGCCTGTAGACGGCACATGAAGCAGGTGCAGCAGCGGCTGCTGCGGCCGCGGCAGAGACTGCCGCCAGCAAACTCTCGGCGGTGTTGCGGCCTGGATGAAGTGTGCTATGTCGAGGGGTCATTCCTATGATTGCCTCCTTGAGTGTAATTGCTAGTTCAAGCCCGCATTCGATGGAGGGGATGGGTTCGTCCAGGTCCAGCTTGAAGCGGGTGACGGCAGGTTGGGCTCCCGTGCTGTCAGAGTTTTTCTCTCGGCTGTGGGTTTGGCGATGGCCCTTTGAGGCCCACGGCCCGCAAGTGAGCAGAGCCTTGCCAAGAGCGACGCATCAGGACCGCCTCCCGACGGCGTAGGGGAGTTCAGGGTTTGGGGGTTTTGCTGAGCTCCGGGTACCACTCTCGCGTGGCGCGTGGCTTGCAGGAAATCGGCCCCTGTCCTCTGGGAGCACCGCCGGGACCACAGACGGGGAGGGTTTTGCATGCGAATGGTTTCTTGAACCTTCAAGGCGGCTCCGGCGGTGATCGATCGGCCGGGCAACTGGCCCGAGGCCCAGGACAACGCAAGACGAGAGTGACAAGGACATACAGGGAGCAATGAAGCCGTCATTCGCCGTCGGATCCGTTTGAAGTGTCTCGTCTGTGTCTCGAGAATCTTCCCTGCTCCTTCCGGCTAGCTGATATTGAAGGAGGATGCGAAATACAGTGGAAACCGGCCTGTTGCAGTCTCTTACCCGGAAAACCAGAAGGGACTTTTTTGCAGAGTACAATGTGGAATGCAACCCCCATTGCGGCTTGGAGGAGGCATTCAGGGTGGCGATGCAGGTGTAGACCGTTGCTGCTCAATCCTCACCTGCAACACCCAAGAACCCTAAACTATCTTCGAAGGCTTCGAAAGGTGGGATGAAGGTAGGTAGAATTAAGATCAAGGATCCCTTATGTAAGGACCCTTATTTGGGATTACCTCACCTACCTTGATCCCACCCTTGTCTATCCGCCTGAAGCCCTACAACCTGCCCTGCGACCCAACTCTTAGAGTCTGAACCCCTCTATTTAGGGTTTAGGTTTGAGGGTTTAGGGTTTAGGGTTTAGGGTTTAGGGTTTAGGGTTTAGGGTTTGAGACCCATAAAAGGCCCCATAAAGATCTGTAGAATCTGGCAAGCCCCTACCCAGCCATATGCCTCCTGAACCCTGTCAAGCCGTACCACGGCCCCATGAAACCTCGAGCGCGGACAGAGTCACGTTGAAGCGCGATAGGCTTCCTGTTGAAGCCTGTAACCCTAAAACCTAATCCCGAAAACCTAAACCCTAAACCCTCAGCGCTAAACCCGAAGCCACAACCCTGAACCTGCTTTCGACGCCTGGGTGACCGAACAGGGCGCTTAAGACACAGCGCAACACCCAAACCCCAAAACCAAAAACCCCGAGCCATAGGCCCTAAACCCTAAAACCTACACACCAAACCGTAAACCCGAAGCCCTCAAACCTAAACGCGAAACCGTGATGCATCGAATAACCCCAGGCCCCAAACAATCGACCTCGGCCGGCTGCCCCGGCGGACAGACGAGGTGCTTCGACAGGGATTGTAGAAGGGCTTCAGGGTTCGGGGCTGATAGGCTATGTGTATATACTGTATATATATATATACACATACATACACACACACACACATACATGCATGCATGCATGCATGCATAGACAGATAGATAGACAGACTTTCTATATATATATATGTATATATGTATATACATACATACATACGGCATGAATGCATACACACATGGCAGACCACGCCCGTTAAACACAGCTTTTTTCGTTAACGATCTCCAAGGGTTCAGGGGTGGAAGGGTTATAGGGTTGAGAGTTCGGACTTTGGGTGTTTGGTGGTTAGGGTTCAGAGGTTTAGGATAGCTGCCGCAGGAGCTGTCGGCCCTCCGATGGCGCTGGTCCTGCGTGGCCCTCGCCATCAGGTGTGCAGAGCTTACGGCCATTGCCGTGCGGTCAAGCGCACGCGGTGCTTGCTCGATGGAGGCCCCCGGAAGATGTAGAGACAACTCAGCGTGAAGGCCTGGCTGCTCCAGCGACGGCAAATGCTTTTTGGAAGTGAGGCTTACGGTTTAGCAGTGTAGTCGTTCGCCGTGTGCTCATGGGCTCCCACATCGCCATCGTTACGGCAGCCTTCTGCAACCGCTTGTCAACTACGGAAGCAGTGGCGCGTGATCCTAGGTTTAGGGTTTGGGGTTGGTTTCGGATTTTTGACTCTCTTGGCATTCGCTTGCACTTCAATTTCGTTATCGCGCAGTCTTCTGCCTCGTCTCCAGGACAGTGTGGTTGCAGTGCCATCCTGTTCATTCAACACGCAATGGTTGTTTGCCGCGGCCCGAGTTTCAGCAGGGTTCAGCTGTCGGATGGGGCTTGCTCGAAACTTGGCTTGATACAGCAAAAGTCAAGATTGAAGTATCAAGCATCACGGGTCGGAAAAAAAGAGGGGGACCTATTTTGCATCCTCCAGGTGCACTCCCGATCAGCAACGATGCGGCCGTGCTCACCGAGTTCAGTGCTACTCAGCCCTGTCTGGCCGGGCTATGGGCTTTAGGGTTTAGGGTTTAGGGTCTAGGGTTTAGGGTTCAATCTAGGGCTTGCTAACTTTATCAAACTTTTATGCGACTCATGTAGGTGCGACAAGATTTTAGGGCTTGTCTCTATGGATTCAGGGGGATTCCTTTCCCGAATTGGCATGCCAGGCCTGCTCCTGGTTTGCATTCTCGAACACCCAGCCCCAGAATCCTAAAGCTTAAAAACCATCTCTTATAGTAGCCCTTACAGTAACGCTCAAAGTGTAGACCCTGGGGTAGTACCCCAATCATCGCCACCCCTGTAATAACGCCGTTTGCAGCTGAGGTTCATCGGGTCACGAAGGTGACCTCCAAGAAGTCCAGCCCGCAGACGGTAACCCTCTTCCAGGCATCCCAAGCAGTGCTTTGCGCCCCTAAAAAATCCGAAACCACTCTCGTACCCTTATAGAACTCCCCAAGGAACCCTCACACCGCAAGCTCAGAACTCGCCAGAGTCCCGGCAATCTTTTCGCCAGGACGAGCGCAGTGGAGAACAAGTCCAGACAACGCTGCTTGCGGCACCGGACTCGGCGATTGCGCAGAAGGGTTTTTCAGAGTGATGCTCTCTGGAGTGAAGGCGCTGTATTTCTTGAAGGGCACGAAGGAGGCTGGTACACTTGTGCTGGGGATCATGCGAGGGGGTCTACACAACAAAGGCTAGCCAGATAGCTTAAAACTTCGTTTTTTTCTGCTGGGTTCCGATGATTTCACGCTGGCCGCTTGACCTCTGCATCATCACATCTCGTAGATGTGCTTAAAGCTGCCGCAGCGTGGAGGTTGAGCAATTCGTGTCCGTCCTGCAGTCGCAACGGCAGAACGCACCCAGGCGCATGCCACGCAATCAGCTCTCGAAGGGATAACCTGGATTTCACAGCTAGGCCGCGAACAGTGGCAACGGTGACGAAGGACGAAAAGATGCATTCGCCATGGCCCTCAGAGTGCTTTGCAGAGAGCCCGCACGCTTAATTAAGGGACCTTCTTCCATTATGACAAGACTCCGTGTCTACTTTGAGGGCGGTGCCTAGACCCTAAACCCTAAACCCCAAAACCCTAAACCCTAAAACCCTAAACCCTAAAACCTTAAACCTTAAGCCCCGTCCCAAACCCTGCGAGGCCTCAGTGAAGCCCTGAAAAATCCCTTCCGAACTCCTGGAACAGTCTTTCCACCCTCTCAAAACCCCTAAACCCTCATTCCACCCTAAACCCTTGAACCGTTTGACCGTTGAGGCTCCAAGTCCTACACCCTAAACCCAAAGCCCTAAACCCCAAAACCCTAAACCCTAAGCCCTAAAACCGAAACCCAAAAAACCCTAAACCCTGAAACTGAAACCCCAAACCTCTAAACCCTCAAACCCTAGACCCTAAATCAAAGTCCGAGGCCCCTTTCTCCGCCACCAGTTGCGCTCGAGGCGGCAGCCGTGGCCGTGGCAGCAGCAGCAGGCCCCTTTTTGGGATTTCAGTGTGCTTTTGGGTGTAGGGCTTAGGGCCGTTTAGGTTTAAGGCTGAGGTGCTTTGGGACTTCCCTGGTGGGGGCCGAAGTGTGGAACTGGGGGCCCTTGCATGGTCGCTGAAGCAGTCTGCATCCCGAAACCGAGTCACCAAAATTTCCAAATCTTCACCTGAACCCCCTAAACCCTTAACCCCTAAACCCTCAAGGGTTTAGGCCGTGCTACTTTGGGGGCCTAAAGAGCGACCGTAATTTGGAGAACTACCCATATCTTGGTGCTCTGTAGTTTATACTTCCCGACAACCCCAACAGTGTCTGACAAAGCGGCCCCGGTGCCTCAATGTAGGTTGTGTAAAGGTTTTGCAGTTATGGTATAATGTACTCCAAAACCCAATTCTACTTAACCTCGGCTTCTGTGACTTGCGCTTAGAAGAGGTATTCGTGGGTTCTAGGCTTCCGTTTTTGGCTCTATCGCGGTTAAGGTCCCACGGTTGAGGGTCTCGGAGTTCAGGGTTTCAGGGGCCTTGAAAAAAGGATCTGAGGGTAAGATCGGAAAGAAGGAAAGTTCTTTTTTTGCAGGGTTAATGGGTTCCTAAGAGGATATTATTGCGGTTCAGGGCTGTAGAGACTTGCATCTTGTTTCGGATTCAGTGCTGGGCTCGCACGGGACACCCCAAAGCGGCTGAAGAAGTTTCAGTATTGAGTCTGAAGGTGCTTGTTTGGGGATCCGGGGACCTAGCACGTGCGGTGAGAGGGTAGGGTTGCCATTTCCCGCGCTAGTGCTTCGTACTTATAGTTAATCTCTATCCTAATCCCGCTCGCCGCATCCACGGTGCGGGCGTCTTAGCAGAGTAGCCTCGCTTTGAGGCCTTCGAGGTTTCGGATTTCGAGTTTAGGGCCCCCCCTCGGAATTGTGGCCTTGATTTTGTGGCTCATGGGTTTGGGTGGGGCTTCTGGGAGGTCAGAGGTTTGGAGCTATTAACATAGGATCCTACTGCTGTTGCGGCCCTAGTTCCGAGTTAGAGCGCTTGAGAGGGCTTCGATCTTCCAGTGAGAGTCTTGCGGGCCTCTAGTCTAAACCCTAAACCCTAAACCCTAAACTCTAAACCCTAAACCTTAAACCCCAAACCCTAAACCCTAAACCTTAAACCCTAAACCCTAAACTCTAAACCCTAAACCCTAAACTGCCACGCAAGC